CTGCAATGTCTGGTGGCCAGTGTCGCATTCCAAAGTGTCCACTGAAAGCATTAGCATGCGTTCCAAGGGGGAGATATGAGTTTTCGGCAGTCAGTAAAGAGAATGCAACAATTCAACCAACCAAAGCTCTGACATGTCATGTATCCCATGATGTGCACACCGACTCTTCAGTGGAAGGTTTGATGGCAAATAGACAGCCCAGCTTCAACCTGGGCAGCTGGGCTGCCCTCAGATCCCCCGCTAAAAGTTTAACTAGTGGGTGAAATGGAAAGCCCCACTAAATACTAAAAAGCTAAAAGGCTAAGGGGATGGCTGGGAGCCACCAAGGCAAATGGCCCTCTCCTGTGGTTCTGCCGCAGGAAGGTGATATCTGGCACCTCCGTCCAAGCGTTGCGCGCGAGAGTTTGGCCAGCCGCTCTGCTGCTGCTGCTGCGCCCGATTTCTGGCTGCTGCGCCTGGTTCGGCTGGGACTTGGCAGGTGGTGGAACAGGGGTTTCTGCGAAAGCAAGCCCAACCCGGACATTGGCGTCATGCCAACATTTGCCCACCCCTATCTACACCTTTGCCCACCCCTATCTACACCCCACGATGGCCCGCATTGGTTGCTACCCCCTGTTTGTGTCTGAGGCCCTGGCAGCTTTCAGCAAAAAACAGGGGGGAGGTTCAAAAATAGAAACTCTGATGTTGTCCCGATTGGGCAAATGTTGGGCCCTGGATGTGTGAGCGGAGCCGGAACTGCTGCCAATTATTTCAGGGGTTGAAGGGTCACATAGTATACGTGAGACCTGCAGGACCTGAACATCCGTCTGATCACTCGGCTCTCGAGCTTAGCGCAGGCCCAAAAAAAAACGGTGCGGGTCCAGCCTTGTGAATACACAGCGGGAATTCATCCGGAGCAGGTTGGTACGTGTTGCCAGGCTCCAGCAATGGGATCGTGTCCCCTTTCTGGTTGTAGATGATGTAATCGTCGGGCGTCTGCGCCCACTCCGCCACCACGTCTGCCCAGTCACCATTGAACTCAATGCGGGCAACCTGGCACGATTGAAGCATTCTTGGTGCCCGACCAATGCGAAGCACAACTCTCACCCATCCGCAAAAACATCAACCACGTCATGTTTCCGCTTGAATGTCTTTGGGTGAACAAGTGGGCCACATGGCAGCCTAAGTCTTCGTCATTCCTCACTCAAGCGCCTCAGTTGCTACCGCACCAATCGATCCCATGCCTCTGCGGCCGCGGCGACGCGCTCCCACGTCATGGCTAAACCACAGTGGCCGCCGCCCTGGCGAATGTCCACGGCAGGTGCGTCTTACAATTGGAATATGCTGTGATGAACACATGTTAAATACTGCGGGTGGACGAAAACCATTTCGCACCACCTAAGAAGCCCTGGTTTCTGATGACCCCCCTGTAAATACCAAGGGACACTGGTTTCCATGGTTTCAAAGTGGTGCAGGATTTTGTCCATCCACAGTAGGACATGTCCAAAACGTGTGTTTTGTTAGAAGCCCCATGAAAAACAGAGAAAACAAGTTTGCGTGTCTAGGCCTTCCGCAAACCGAGAGGAACGCCACTGCGTCAGAACAACACAATTCCCCAATAGAGTCCAGCTATGTGCTTTCAACTCTATTACCTGGACACAGCCCGTACCTGCAATATTTCCGGGGTCGGTGACCTGGAAGTGTCCCGGTGGTGTCACGAAAAGTGTCCCGTTGGTGTCCCAGCTTTGTTTTCAGTTGTGTTTTTGTGGTGTCCCGGCGGTGGCGGCCCTTGTTGTGTTTGTGGCGGTGCGTTGGTGTTCCGGTGGTGTTTTGGTTGTATTTGTGGCGGTGCTTTGGTGGCGTGCGTGCTGTCCCGGTTGTGTTGGTGGTTTCCCGGCGGTGTCCTGCTTGTGGTTTTGACTATGCTTTGGTGGTCTTCCGGTAGTGTTCCGCTTGTGTTTTGGTGGGTCCCGGTGGCATTCCAGTGTCGTTTTGATGTCTTGGAAGGATGCCAGCAGAACAGCAAGCAAACTGCAAAAACGCGTAGCTCTCAACATCGCCCATCTTTGCCAGATGTTTTTTTTCATGCTACATTGGCACCCACAGTCACCCTGACACGCGTCGTTCTGCCTGGGGCATGGGACAGGGGAGCTTGCTGTTGGCGTTGGCATGCTCCAGCTTGCACTTCAGGCCCTTGGTGCAGCCTTTCCATAGCTTCTTGGTCATGTCCGTCAGGGTATCGTGGCATTTGTCGCCGCACACCAGCCAAGAGTGGTACCTCCCAGGACCGACTCTGGGCCCATGGGCCCATCTTCCAAAGGAAGGTGGCTGACTTACCCCATCAAGCCAAATATGACGAGGATTGACGAACCAGCGGAGCAAAATAAATTGAACCCCGATTTCTGGGTCAAACAAGAGGGCAAGCAAGCAAGCAGGCAGGCAAGGCAAGGCAAGGCAAGGCAAGGCAAGGCAAGGCAAAGCACACACACAAGCGCACAAGTACACAGGTACACAAGTGTACGAGCTAAACATTTAATGGGCGCACCTTGAGAAACTGTCCCACTTGCCTATGCACAGAGTGGCTGATGCGCTTTTTTTGCTGCCACATCCTCATCCACATCCTACATGGAAAAGAGGCCCCTCTGTAATGTCTACGTGCATACCTATATGCAAATATATAAATATATATGCATATATATATATATACATACGGTATATGAAAACCATACAACCTTCCCTACATCTTTGTCAAAAAAGGGGATGGGGATGCTCCTGCTTCTTGCTCTTGGATCAAGGCTGTGTCCAACAGGCAACTGGATGACGCATGCTTGGCCAAAACAGCCCCACCGCAGAGCACAAGATAGCACAAGTGTGAGAAACATGAAGGTGATCATATCATGTGGGCTGGGGGAAGGGAGGGGAGGGGGGGGAGCCCAAATAAGCCCGAAATAAGGCGGTATGGAGGGCTTAATAGCTCCCTCCCCCTCCCCCTCCCTCCGCGCCAGCCCCATGATCATAAGATTGGCTCGGATGAACGCAAACAACTCCGAAACCCATTGCCCAAAACGCCCTGAGATGCCCGCTTAGCTTGCAATGGGGGCACTTGCCGCCGCAGACATATCGACGACCGCCCATCCGCATCTCTTTGTTGCCTAAGCGGGCGCGTGTGGGAAAGTGCGTCGTCATTCATTCCTTCATTCATTCCATTCCATTCCACTCCATTCCACTCCATTCCACTCCATTCCATTCCATCATTCGTTCGCTGGTGCGAAAAGGCATCAAGTCACCAATATATCTCAGGTTTTGGTGGAGGTCTAAAACCCCGACACCGACAATTTCCAAAGACACCAACAATCGAAGGAAGTATTCGGCCTCTCCCACTTAGTCTCAATAAGCATCGTTGCAAACATGGCTATAGAGCCATGCTAACACGGGTTCTCCTCGCTTCTGCAATGGTCAGCTTCCTTCGGATTTCCTTCAAGAGTCCGGAAAAGGCACGATTGATTTGCATCCAACAGGCGGGCTGGGGGAATACATCAAAACGGCTGGCATCCTCCGACCCGTTCAAAGCCTCAAAGGGAATGCAGCACCCGCAGAACAGGGTCCCGGAGTCTGCAGAGATCCGAGCCCGCGCTGGCAAGGTGCAAAGGCTGCACTGCTCCAGCTTGATCTGCACCTGCTGCACCTCTGGCAGCTTCTCCCCTAGAAACCTCGGCAAGAAAGACCACGTGTCCACTTCAGCTTCGAGCTCTGCCAGGGGTGGCCCCAACTTGGGCGTTCATAAGGCTGGGGAAAAAAAAACCTCTCCCTTGAAAGTGGGCAGTTGGGAGTATTCTTTCTTGGGCCTTTCAAGGCATGGCGAGGCAAAGACGGAGAAGCGGGGAACCAACTGGGTCCATTCAAGTAACGTCCTCCAAAATGCCCCCTAAATCGTGGCTTGATTCAGGCATCCCCAAGGACCCCTCCAACATGCAACGCGTATGGACCCAGAATCCCCACTGCCAGATCGGGGCTCTCTCCAGACTTGGCTCCCAACTCTTCGAAGTAGAGCCGCCGGATGGACTCAAAGCGGAACTCCACGCCTCGGGCTTACGCGACCTTTCGCGACGTTGTGCGACGAATGTGAAGGGCACAACCTGTGAAGGTGGATGAAACCGAAAAGGAACTGCGCCATCTACTTTCAAACTGTAGCTACTGTCCAAATAATGGGGGAAAAACTCCCCCACTGCAACGGCTAAGCATGGCAGGCATGCGTGTTGCAAACGACATGTGGTGACCGACTTCCACAGTGCATTCCATTGGAGCAAGAAAGCCTTGGAATGCCAACAGCAGAAGTGCTGTACAACTGGAGATGTACATCGATCACATTGAACTTGTGCATGTGTGTGTGCGCCTCGGGCTGACAACTGCGCGCGATCATGCGACTGTGTTGCGACTCCAGATTCAGAGTTCTGTACGCCTGCCTCGGGTTCCCTTGGCTGACTATAGGGCTTTCAAGTTGGGTGCAAAGTTCTACAGTTTCTGCTTCAGACCTGAAAGATATGTTCGCGAATGCATGATCAATCAAACAAGCGGAAACATAGCAACCGTGCTAGTCACAGAGTCATGCCCAACAAGAACTACACAAGCCCATGCTCAAGAAGCCCTGGCTTTACGTGAGCTCTGCGATACCCCAAAAAGAGAAACACCAACCTGCCCGGCAATCTATTGTGTGACACCCGGAAACAGGCCTGGTTGATTGGCAGCTTGCAAATTGCGTACGAGTACTTTGCGTTTCTGAGGCCGTGCTTTCCAAATCGTCAAATCGTCAGGGGCTCCGAGCAGGCAAGGTACCAGTGGACTGAAAGGTAGTTTCCCATGTACCCTCTCCAAGAACCAGGGGTTCATCAAACCCCAAAACCACCAATCCAAACCACCAATGAAGGGTTACCTCATAGTTGGACCCTCCAACAAAACGGTCCGGTAAACCGGGCACCTCACGAGTTTAATGTGGACCAACAACTCCTGCGCCCGTAGAACTGAGAAGCACCTCCAGTATTTGGGTTGCTCAAGATGAGCTTCGGAGCCCTTGCTTCCCAAACGGTGACTCTAAATGGCTGTGGGTCAAACATAGGGTAACCCCAAAATGGACCCCTGGTGAATGGAAACGCGGAAAATCTGCGGTCCATATCCTGGTGGCTTGATTTTGACCCATACCCAAATGGGTTCCCACCACTTCCTTTCGGATGCAAAAAGAGCCCTAGATCCTCCAGTAGAGAGGATAGAATAAGGGTACCCTTTTTTTTCTGTAGTCTCTTTTAGTAGGGAACCCTCCCCCAAGAAAAGGGGTGAGAAAGGGCACCTAGCTGGGGGACCTAGAACCTGTCCCTCGGGGCCAGCGAGCCCCACTTGTCCCTCGCCTTTGGAGATGGTCTGTGCGGTGTCCCCGGCGAAGACGAAGCCTTCCGGCCGGCTGCTGACCTTGGAGCACTCCCGGACTCCCCTCCCGAACTCCCGGCGGATACCGCGGGAACGTGGCGTTACCTTTTGTTGGTCCTCCAGAGAGGTTAGAATCAGGGCACCAACTTTTTGTGTAGTCTATTTCAGTAGCTGTCATGTGCTCAGGCCATTTTAGTAGCTGTCATGTGCTAAGGCCAAGTTAGCTCGCACCAGGCCGCCTCACCTGTGTGTGTGTGTGTGTCTTTTTTTCAGGCATTGGGCAATGCAGCAACCATGGCGGGTGATATTACGACTCCCCTTTTCACAAGGCCAACTAGGAGGCTGTTCCCGCATTTTTGGAGCTCATCGCAGCTGCCACCTCGCCGCAGTTGCCCAACCCAACAGGCTTTTTGTTCCCCATGCACAGCACAGAATAAGGGGTCTAATGATTTAATGCGCACATGTGGTTTTGCTTTCAGCCTCAACTAGGTCCCCCAGTATCCCTTTCCTTGCCTTTTGCAAATGCATCTTCGCGAGCAAAGCAGTCGCAGGGCTTCCAATAAACAATGAAAAGACCTGCTTTGTCAATTGTCAATTCGTTGCAGGCGTACTGCCCTGGAAGACAACTCTCCTAAAAAACGTCTCTTGATTGGCGCCACGCAGTTTGGCATGGAGCCAGGTTGCTAGATTCAAGAGAAGCAGTTCCACAGGAAGTAGGTCCTGAACTTCGTCGATGAACACGCCCGCAAACCTCGGCCGGCCGCAGAGATCCAGGCCGCACGTCAGCCCACTGTGAGGCCGTCCACATTGGCCTTTGTCTTGGCCTTGCGGCATTTACTTGTAGGCAAGCACAGGCCGCAACAGGAAAAGGACATGTTCAACTTCCATTCCTCGGCAATGTGCAGCTTGAGGTTTTGTGACTGGTCCCGACATTAAAGTCACCTCATGCCTCCATCTCTATTTAAACGCTCGGAACATTTTCATGCGCAAGGCCTGGCACCTATCTCTTGCCATGCAGCGATCGAGTTTCTTTCAGCCCATACTTCTCCGCTCGAGTCAGGATGTGTCGTGCGACATCTGTGCAGTCGTAGCGGTGGTTGTCCTTTCAGCGCTTCAGAATTCACATGAATCTTGCAGCTCGGACCAGCGTAGCCGCAGAAATTCATGAAGCCCAACTAGGTCCTCCTGTGGAGAGGTTAGAATAAGGGTACCCTTTTTCCTGTAGTCTATTTGGGTAGGGAACCCTCCCCCAAAAAAGGGGTTAGAAAGGGCACCTAGCTGGGAGACCTAGCCAAGGAACGGCTGGAGGTCAGTCCTGCTTGAACTTCTTGTAGATCTCGAAGGCGCGGTACACACGTTCCCGGCTAATCTCTGAGTTCCGGAATGCAGACTCCTTGACCTCGGGCCTTGGAAAGCAATGCCATGGGGGGGGGCCCTGGCCAAGACTGGATTGCCACTCACAGCAACCTGCCACAATGGCACATGCAACATGATGCCAACTACCAACATAGCTCTTGCAACCCAGAAACAATCTGCAATTGACCTATCCAGCGCTGAGAAGTTCTCTTTTGATTTTGGCTGGCTGGCTAAGCTGTCCAATCTTTCCTTTCGCGGAAAGCTAAGGCTAGGGGAGAGCCCCGCTAGCAGAGGGCTGAGGACTGACGTGCACTTCTGCCATGTCTGATGCGCTTCCCTCCCATCTTTGCTGGAAAAAAAACTAGCCACACGATAATAGGTGTGAATGCACATATGCATAAAATATATAACACCTGTTTGTTTTTGTTGTTATCATTGAACATGTGTTGGATCAACTTGCTTTGACAATCACCCCAACATACCATTTGGATTGGTTGAACGTGCAAACTTAAGGGTTATGAACCAATATGACTTTGGGTTTGCGGACTCTTAAACATTTGATGCACAATCGCGCTTGTTTGAGGAACCTGTGCGAGGAAATGTGAGTTGTGATGCCGTGCTACTGCGCACAAGTTCAAGCGACCACGTAATACCCAACAACATTTATATTTGTTATGTTGGCCATTGAATTCTGCAAACAGGAGGGAAACGTCCAAAGCTGACTTCTTGACCTTTTGGCTGCCCCTTGGCAACCAGTTCTACAGGGGCTCCAGGGATACATTAGGCCCAAATCACTAAATAGCAGCTGATTCATTTAGAACATCCGACTCGACAGGGCCGACCAGCACCAACCAACGACCAACAAACCTCAAAGTCTAAACTTAAATCCTAAACCTGAACCCTAAACCAAGCACACTAAACGTCAGCCTGTGATCTAAACCCTAGCCTGAGTCCTAGACCTGAACCCTAAACCCTAAAATCCCGAAGCTGAAACCCCGAACCCCCAGACCTGAAACGCCGAACTATTTTGAGCATGCACTGAGCGGCAACAATGCACATTGGTCTGGGGGCTGCTGCTGGATCTTGAAAAGGTAGGCAAACCACGGGCATTTCCGGCACTTGAACTACCAAGACATACGAAAGGACAACACTACATGAAAACAAGGTAGACAGGCTTGACATATGCTAGGTATAGACTGCACATATTGACATTCTCGGACGGAATACTCGTATGCTTGACATCTGCTGAGGAATGCTGGGCAGGGCAAGAGCTAGATACACAGTAGGCATATGCTAGAACTATACACAAGGTGTATGATTGGTGCATGCCAGAGCAAATGCTAGAAGTATGCTAGTTTCTGCTGGGTAGATACTCGACTGCCAGAATTAACAATGCTAGATGTCTAACTCGGGATATGCTGCCAAATGGCGCGCTGAGACACAAACGAACATGCGCGCTCTTTGCGCATGGAGCGGCAATTGCTGCATGTGAACTGCCGAGGTGCAAGGACTTGCCATCCGGCCCTTTGCCTTTGACGTACTCCTCCTTGCTCAGGCACCCCAAGCTCGCGCGGGCGGCACGGGGAGAACCTGCGATCACCGTCAGGAACTCCCGGTAGGCACTGAAGAGGCTATCCTGGGCACGCTGTAAACCGCCTGGAAGGGGGTGAGGACATCTAAGTGCCATGCTCTTTTTCGGAACTTCACAAAAGCGCCTAGAGTTCCCGCTCCACATCTCCAAGCTGAAGTCAGAAAGGGGACAACAGGACTATCCTCCTGGAAGGGCAGAGCATTGGGAAACTTCCTTCCAAACTGCATCGCTCGCCCCGTCCACAATGGATTTCATTAACAACATATTGAATGATATTGGAATCCAGCAGACACAGGGAAAGACTTAATTACTGCTCGAGTTGGTTTGTTCACTTTAGCTGAGAATCTCAAGAAGATGTCAGGGAAACGGTGCCACCTGCGTCTAAACAACTGACTGGATCCATTAAAGTGGCATTCGCAAAATTGCGCTCCAAATGGTGCTTTGGAGGGGAAACCCACAAGTAATTTTGAGACCCCCTCAAAATGCTCACTTTCATGGAGCCAGACTGAGCAAATCATTTTCGGGGTTCAGTCAGAATGTGAACCCAGGCCCAGGCAACCAGCCTAGACAATGGCTGGAAAGCAGAGGCCAGTAAGGGATGAAGACAACCAAACAAGAAAGAACAAACCCGACCAACTCAGACCAAACCAAGCAACCAACCAACCAATCAAACAACCAGCCAAACAACATAAATAATACCAACCAAACAAACAAGCAAACAGGTCACCCGCATGCACACGCAGGTAACAACGATACGCCGGCCTCTCATCTGCCAAGTGTCGCCCTCCTTCTTGTCCAAGGGCCCGGCTCCAAGCAGCTTGGGCCCACAGGTCACCTGGCGGCCGGCGCTTGTTGACTCCCAAAACGGCTAAAACGGCCCAACGGGGCAGTGCGAGAAACACAAAGGTGAGTATATCATGGGGGCTGGGGGGGAGGGAGGGGGAGGGAGCCCAAATAAGCCCTAGATAAGCTCTTAAGGCCCTTATTTAGGGCGATTTTGGGCTCCCTCTCCCTCCCCTCCCTCCCCCCCAGCCCCATGAGGATGGATTGTAGAACTACGGCGGACCCAAATATTGCAAGTGAACAAGGGGAAGCCCAAGCAAATTCCAGAGTTTACTTGCAATATTCAGGGCAGCCGTAGCTTTCCAATTTGTTCCCATTTGGCATTTTAGGTTGACTCTCATTCACACCAAATCACAAGTTGGTTGGCTTCAAGTGGGGGTAATGTCAAGCCCGGATGAATCCCCCCAACAGTGGAAGATCCCCAAATTAGGATCCCCGAAACTTGTTCCAGGATACGGCTGGTTTATGTTGATTTGCTTCAGGCCTTGCAGCCCAAGAAGCAAATTCACAATTTATGCTTTCCACGCTTCAGCTGAGAAATGCATTGTGGCATGCCGCCCTCTTGCATTAGGTTCCTGATAACACGAAATGAAGAGTCAAATACTCGTTGCAGCACAAGCTGAAACAATCATGACCGAACCTCCCACAAAGCCAACCAACCAACCAACCATGAGCAACACAGCACAAGCTGGCGCATGAACTGAACAACCTACACCGTTGACTTGCCGCATTCGATGCCACCGCAAACCACGGACAAGTCAATCATCGGCAACTAGCTGCATGCTGATTATCACAATTCGGGCGCTGACCTGGTTGCAAGTGCCCGCTTTGACATGCGGGTCCAAAATGACCCATACCTACTGCCCCCCGGAATGGGAAAAGAAACATGCCTGTATCTCTTGATCAGCTTAATCAGGGTGAACTCAAATTAGCCAGTTTGTTCTTATGTTTGCCGGTCGAACCCAGGCGGCAAGCAGGACGGACGAGCTTTTAAGTTGGTCGATCTGCTTTCTTCGGTTTCACCAACCTCCGAGCTTTGGCCCTCCACCCTCTGCGCACGTCCGGTTTTTTGCACTCCACGACTGGCAAGCCCTGGTTTAAGCTGCTAGCGGCTTCCCGAAATTTTGTGAAAATTATGCATTCCTAACTTTGCACGGTATCTGCAAGTGCTACTGTATTTCCAACATATGAATTGAGGATTGGCAAGCAAGGATCCTCAAGCAACGGCCCATCACTGGTGAGATCAGTTTACTCGCCGTAAATGAGGCACATTGTCACTATCACTTTTGGCTTGATGGTTGGTCAACTTGGGGTCTCCTCCAAGACTACTCTATGTTTCACTCACTTCCTGAGTGGATCGGCCAGCCAAACTCCAATCTGATTGTTTACCATATGGTCGTTCCAAACAGTTCTCCAGTCCAAGAACTCGGGAGTTGTTGGCAGAATCAACCTGAAGCAGAGTCCGAAGCTGTGCGTCTGTTGCCCCAGAAAAGTGTTTGACAAGACCTGGCCATCCTGGGCATCCTGGGCCCTATGCCTCGAACTCCTCGTAGGGCAGGTGATCATCCTCCATGTCGAAGAGCCCCTCTTCGGGGGACAAGTTCTCAAAGCGCTCTTCCACCCCCAGCGCGCCGTTCCGGTGCCCTCGGAGGAATCGCAGGACTGGAAGGAATTGCCCTCGACACGAGTCGTCCAGCGCTTCATCCCCAAAGAAGGCAAAACCAGGCAAAACCACACTCTTGTGAATTTACCTGCCCTCGCTTCTCGATAACACACATCTGGGGAAGGTGTTCCTTCCCTCACAGCCCACGCCCAGGGGGAACAAGCTGCCCGTCGCAGTCTGTGCTACCGTCTGTGCTACCATCTGGTAAAAGGAGTGAGGATTGATATTGAACAACCCGTCCGTAGCAAGGTGCACCCAGGAATAAGTCCAAATCCCAGATCAAAAGAAGTCCGGTTTCCCCGTATTTATTATGACGGCGTCTTCCTTCGAGGCTCCACCTAAATTTGGGCGAAAACCGGGGGGGGGGAAAAACAATGGGCGGTTCGCAACTTCATTTCGTGCCTTCGATTTGCTTACGCCCCCTGGGAAAAAAATATAATAAGAATATTTCCAGTAGTGTTCCAATCCTTTTAAAACCAACAGGGAAAAAACATATTCTCAAACAAAAAATTGAAAAACCACCAGGGAAAACCAAATGGAAGTGGCCCGCTCCGCATAAAACATGCCAAAGTGTCGTCTCGCCGCTGCCCGCGCCACGCGGCTCCGCGGGGGCCGGAAGAAGGGCTCGCCTGCGGCGACGGGCGACAGGCAACGAGGCGGCCCAAAGCTTGCAGGTCTCTGAATTTGGGGGGACCCCGCATATGATATGCGGGGTCCCCCCAAATTGAGAGATTATCTATGGCATACACCTATCTACATCTAAATTCAAAAGATGGTAGCTGTAAGGGACCAAGCAAGAAGCCTTCATCATGGGTAAGCGTGTTTTACGTCCAGGTGAGTTCGCCACAAGCAGACTGGCTTGGTGCCTTGCCAGCACGCGTCGGAGGTTCCCCTGTCAGAGACCCGCCGCGAGTAAAACCCTGACTAGCTACCTGGGGGGCGTACCAAAATGCGTTGAACTTACCGCACCGGAACACCCGATCCGTTTGGGCGCAACACGCAAGCCTTGAAAGAGGGGCCGGAGTGGCGTTTTTGCTCACCAGCTCTGGGAACCGGGCCCTGCAAAGCCTTTCGAGATCAAGGCAGGCGAAAACCAGCCTAGGCAAAGCAAGATGGATTCTTTAAAGCCATACCTTTTTAACTTGAGATAGCACCCATGCCGCACAGGCCGCGCAAAACAAGATGTACACAACCGCGGGCAACCAACAAATGTCTCAAATTGCTAGTGGTCCCAGTCCCCGTAGGCTCTTTGGCGGGTGCCAAGTGGATCTTGCTATCTCGCCAACTTCTTTGCTTTCCGTCGAGTTTTGCGCGGCATGTTGAAACCCTTTTCAGAGCCTCAGTTCCCTTGCCTCCTGGTTGGACCAACCAGCCAGCCAGCCAGCTAGCCCACCCATCCGCCAACCAACCCATGCCTTGCCCCAGCAGGTGCCAAGCAAAACGCAAAACACATTCCCCCAGAAAATTGGCTCTTCCAAAATGTCCTCGGGCCCCGCTACAACTAGAGCTTCCAAGGACGGTTGACCAGGCTACAAGGCACCCTATATCCAGGACAACGATGAAACCGAAAGACAAGCTGCCACGAGCCTGTTGGACCAGATCTGGTCAGTCGTCCATACTGGCCTTGTTTACTTGCAATACTGTGTGCCCCAACTGGCACATGGAATCAGAATTGGGGCGAGACACATGTTAACATGCTCCGGGCGCGCAGCATTGAGAACGTAACTCGTGTCACAGGACTAGCATACCAACTGACACCTAAGACATCCTGAATCTGCCCATCCATACAAATGAATCACCTCAATGCATAGAACGCCAGTGAGCGACACCTATTTATTTTTGGGTGAACATGCTTTCAATCCAACACGCGAAAGTACATGTGTATGTTCAGTCTTAAGCACTGCACACCGATGAAGGACGCACACCCCGCCTTTCACAGATTTGTCCAGCATCAGCAGAAGTGAGTCCCAGCTGGTGATGACCTTGGCATGATGCCTAATGACTTGGGGCCGCCAGCATGAGACATGCCTCTTACCTTGAGAGCCTGTCAATTCTGGTTAGTATGGTTGCGTCCCTGCTAATGCTGTGGCCAAGTCACAAACCTTGTCCAAATGACAACATGGACCTACACTATGTGTTGCTCTTGGTAGTGGCAGGTTCAACCGACAACAACTCAACTGTAGAACTCCACTGGCCAGTACGGACTGTGATGAGTTGCCGGCTTCTGCAGTTACTTCTCACAATGTGAGCTTCACTTGAATCAAACCCTTACAATAAAACATTCATGGACCATGTCTTCCCCACAATGATAGACAAGCCCCCCCTACGTGCCAGAGAAGATCCATCCGAGGTGCCGGGGACTCCTCCACGGAGAAGACCTCGGGCTCCAGGCTGCTGGGCGGAGGCCGGAACTGCCGGCGCTCCTCCTCCCGCACCACGCCCAGCTCGATGCCTCGCACGGCACGTGGGAAAGCCGAAAGCGGCTGAGTGACCTGGTGCTCGGGAATGAGAAATGGAAGGACCCCGACAAAAAAAACACTGCATCCTCTGGTTTCCTTAGGAATCCCCAAACAGTTCCCTTCCCAAAGGTCATTCCGACCAGCAAGACGAGTCAAAACGAAGCCTTGAGAGCCCAGGTTGAGGTAGGTTCGGGGACGCTCGGTGGGCGATCCCGCAACCCTGGCTCAGCCCGCTTTCTGCAGACTCATAGCTAAAGGCTGAAGGCTTTGTCGCAAAAGTCTACTCCTGCTTGCCGGGCATCATGCTACACACCACCCCCGCAAACAGGCGCACGCCCTGCCTGCGGTTTCTTCCAGCGCGGTTCCGCCGAAGCCTTCGGCGCACCCGCCGACCAACCCGGATGACCAAACAGCGAGCTCCGCAGAACGCAGTCCAAGCCCACAATCCAGGTAGGCTACTATTATATGTATATATAGATATATACATACACACCAGCATTGGACCCATTGGGCGAGTAATAAAAACAAACTCAAGCGACACGCATTGGCATTGCATCACACTGCGATCTTTTGCATCCCACACACATTCTGTGTTGCTGTGGGTTTGCCTTCGGTTAGAGCCATTTGGAACCAGCAGAATTCTCAGGCCCGCTTGACAAACGGGCCGGGCTTACTTTCTCAGCCAGGAGCTAACCCGTCCGATACCAAGACAGATTTCAATCGCCGAACATGACAGCATAAAGCTTCAACCCGGACCTGGGTCCGTTAAACAACATCCTGAAAACTACACTCTAAGTTGTGATTCAAAGGGACAAGAAGCATGTAGCATGACTTTGAGGGAAGTAGTCACTTGAGTTGGGTGGGCCGCACCCGAAAAAGCATCAGCAACGTGCTGACCACATCAGCTACGCATATGCTGAGAGCCCTCGCGCTATTGACAAACTTTGTGACTGCTGTCGTCTCCTGGCTAGCTTCTCAACACATTCTACAGGCATGAAAAGAACGTATCACCGACTGAGAACATGCACCATCACCGACAACTTCTGCGTTGGAAACACGCGCTGCAGATGAAGGAGCTTGGAACCTGGCACCCCAATGCCAACTGCATTTCTTCACGAAGCCAAGGAATCAGCACCGCTCGGTATGCATACCCAAAAAAAGCAGTCTAGATCGGGCTCTCAGCTCAGAAGGCTTTCCAAGCCCCAGAATTCTACAAACTAACAGTTTTCCAGCAACAAATGTGATTTAGATGCAAAGGATGCAAACCAAATGAAACACATGCAACCACATGCAAATATATGCTGACTCAGATTTTCGCCAGGCCAACACAATGATTTTGATAAACTTGACTTGTGGGGAGGCTGAGACAATGACTTACCTGGATTTGCTTCAGTTATTTTTGGGGAAGCCTGGGCAATGACTTGAAAGTCCTTAATCTCATGACATGTGTTGAGCAATCCAGGGTTAGTTCCAAGAAACATATAGCAAATTTGAGAACACTTGAGCAACTTGAGGCAGTTTGAGCAAATTTGGGAAAATTGAGCACACATGTGCTAATTTGGAAAATTGCAAACCGGGATGTCGCGCTCCACCGCCGTGACCTGAGTGTCTCAAACATGCAACTTTGAGCAAATTTGAACATCTTTCCTGCAGTGTTGTGCAATTTTAAGCTAATTGGGATGTTCCTGCCGGCCTGGATGAACAAAACAAATGCATTTAGTTTGTTTGTTTAGAATTTGCTATAGTATTTGTTGAGAAGTCCACCTTATTACTTGAAATTGTCACCAGAGTCATAGTAACGGTAGTGTCAATCCAAACAAACCTAAGAAGCTCTACAACAGAGGCAACCTTCACGCTTTGAGTGCCGCCCGCCCTTTTGTCTGAAAACTTGTCCTGATGCCAACAAAATGGTTTTTAAACATCGCGCAGTACACTTATTCCGTCAATAAAACATGACAACAACAACCAACAACAATCATCACCACTCACCAACGATCAATTCACAAAGAACAAACAAATCCCTACTTTCCCTGAGCAATCTGGAACATCCTCAAAAACCGCCCTGATCTAAGACAGTTCGGATCTCGCCCCTGTTTCGGATTTGAAGATTTACATCAATATACGGCATCATTGTATCGCATTCCTAAAAACTATGGACAACTATACATGTCCAAGGGAAAAAAAATATTCGTATAGATATAAAACATAATGTGATACTAAACACTACATATATATATATATATTTATATGTGTGTGTACTGGCAGGTACACCAGCATAACATAATTATTTACAGACATCCACTTTCACTGATGAGCCGCACGGCACAGGAGTTCCGGGTGGGACAGGCCTCCGGCGGGCCCCGCTTGCATCTGCGCAAAGAGCTTCCGGATGGAGTCCGCGAGAACCGGGGAACGGGTCACCAACCTGACACGTCCATGTGAAGCACTTTGGGATGTGCCAAACATATTCCCTAGCTGAGGGGAATATCGGATCGGTGATCCTTCCTTCGGCAAATCACAAGACCAATAGCATCGCCGTGTTTTTGCGGCTCAGCGGCAGTAAGAGCAGCGCCTCCTCTGAGCCTTCCTGACGGCGCTGCCTTTCTTGGCAGCTGGCACCTGGGGAGGGCACTGAACACAGGTTTTGGTTGGATTCTCAAAATGGGGGCTGTCAGGTCAGCCAACCGAAAATGCACCTGTTTGTTGGGTCGGTCTTCTACTAGACTTTCAGAAACACCAAACCCAAACTTGGCAAGTGTGTCTGCAGTGTCCGAGGTTGCGTTGCCAGAAAAGTGGTGTCGCTTTCCCCCACACTACAGCTTCTTCTCAGCTCTGTTTCAGCATTATTTTGTTGACTTCTGGCCCAGCGTCTGGGTCTTGAACAGGTGTTTCCTCGACACATACGCCTTCCATGCAAACATATCCGGAGGTCATGTAGGTTACACTGCTAATCCGCAGTCCGCGGTCTGACTCAATCTGACACGGGAAAGAAATGCGTGACTCTGCGTGTCGAACCTCTCCCCAAGGCCCTTATCCAGCTGGTCGGGTGACAGCCAGGTTTCCAATTCAATGCGGTGGAGTGCCCTAAGTCACCTCACAAGGGCGCGGCAACATGGGGCACACAAGCCTCGTGAAGGCAGGGAATCTGCCGCACTCAGTGTGTACCAAGAAGTTCTAGTACTTGCACCTGAGGCCTGACCATTGTCAGCTACTACAGTGTGCAACCAATGAACTCCCTCCATCTGCCCAGTTTACTTTTAGCTCCGTAGCAACACCAGTTGTTGGGTCCAAAGCCCTGACACATATCCAGAAATTGGGAAGCAATAAGCAGCCCCCCACCCCGTGGACCCTTTCTGCGACACCAAAGGTGGATTCCCATCTGACTACTTGATCCCCTTCCAAGGAATGTCACAGAAACTTTGCCCAAAAACCAGGTTTTCCAGCGGTGGGTCGCCTACAGACTTGGGCCGAACCATAAGACGTGTCTAGACCACTCTTGAGCATCCCGCTGTGGGCCAGCGGGTAACATCTAGCAAAATGAGTCAGGGACAGGATGTTGCAACCAACCCTCACCTCCCCTCCCTGCTCCCTCCATGGACAGCAGACCCGGCCCCAAAAGGCCCGGAGTGACCCGAGCTGCGGAAGAGCGAGTGCACCAGCACGCTGGTCTTGCCGGAGCCAGAGCGCCCAAGCAGGAACACCACCTGCCAAACCCGACTCAGACGTGAACGGCAGCCAAAAGATCGCTGGCAACTGGAAAAGGCAAGCTGCCCACGAGGTGTCAGGTTTCACGTTGCCAGGCTTGAGAACGAACCCGTGCCAAGAGAGTCACCAGCTGTTGTCCGACTGTTAACTTTCCCAACAAGGGCAACAAGTTGTTCCTAGGTCAGGCAGGCGCGCTGGCAAGCTTGCAAGCAAAGAGAGCAAACGAAGCAACCACATGGAACACTAACACACACCAACCAACCCAAAAAGCAACCAAGCCAACCCCCAAGCCACACCAAACCAGAGACAAAGCGAAAACAAAACGTCAAACCAACACAAACAAAGATACCCTAAACCCTAAGCAGCACCGGAATCACACAAAACCAGCAGCCATGATGCTTGTCGGCCCCTTTCGTGCTTTGCTCGCTCAAGCCCGCCTCATGCAGGGCCTTCCGAAAGGCAATCTGCTCCTTGCACGTCAGAGCGCCACCAAATGGAGGGCACAACTCCGTTCACCCCGCGGGCGCGTAAGGCCAACGTAAACACTCGTCATGGCCAGCGTTAATAGCCGAAGAAGCTTGCAAAGCAAAGCCTGGGGGTGCCCCTTCCCCGCTTGCTACCATTTTCTGTGCCGACTGCCTTCAACAATGCCCCGGCCCATCCAAAAAACGCACAAACTTCTGCCATTGCAGGAAAGGCTCGTCTGCGTCTAGATGATATGGCAGCTGCACCTGGGAACAAAGGCAAGCCCTTGGCCTTACCAAAGGCTAGACTACTACTAGAGGCCCCTGAACTGATAAATCGGTGGGTTCGCTCCAACTTGTTTCCCAGGGGCCCAAAATAGGCTAGAAGGGAGACTCGATGAGGCAACCCCTCTCCCTCGATAGGGAAGAACCTGAACAACTTAACAAGTAACCAAGGACAATCCTTTGATCAGGCCACTTCCTTCAGGCCGGAAAAGTTTAGGTGCGCTGCAGCAGGGCGGCTGATGAAAAATCAATTTTAAACCAAGCACGATATCCTGCCCTCGCTGAGCCAAACCCCCTGAACTTGGAAGGTCACGTCCTTCTTTGCCTCTAGTTCAGCCTTCCCAAACCAAAACAAAAAGTGGCCCAGTCGAAATGAAGCAGCTGCCAAGTCGCACTTTTCAAGGTGTGCTTCACCAGGAAGTCCAACTCTGTCCTCGGGTCTGAAAAAATCGAAAATTGCCCATGCGACCTCAGATTTGCCCAGACAAATCACAAGAACCGCCAAAAGGAGAGGAGTAGATGGTGGCCTCTGGCTCTGCTTGGCCAGAAGCCCATGCTAAACCGGCTGAATACACACACACACAAGCACAAAGACACGTGGCCCAGGGCGGATCATCCGCCTTTGGGGGTTCCGGATCTCCGAGGTCCACGCTTCTTCATCACCTCGCAGCCGCTACGCCAAGAATGTGATCGCCGCCCTGAAAAGATATGGGTATGGGTCAAAATGAAACCACCAGGAATTGGACCGCAAGTTTTAGTCCTTGGTTCCATTTACCAGGGTTCCGTTTTGGGCATCTAATTACCAAATCTAATGTCGAAACCATTCTAAACCCATCTGATCCACACATGGAAAGAGTGAACGGCATGCGCAACTGCGAGACCAACACATAGATGAACAAAGGGGTGCATGCTGCAATTGCCATCAGGCAAAAAAAAAAAAACTTCGGCACAAGCAACTTGACATCTTCCCCCCCAAACAAGTTGTCGATTTGTCAACAGGATTGCATTGGTCACCGTAGCTATCCCCAGAAAAGAACCATGAGCCGTGCCATGCCGCCCCTAATTTGATGTGACCAGCTACAGTGTCCTCGAAGGGGGGAGGCACGAGCCGTGTCCAAATGTGGCATGCAAATTGACATCAAATCAGCGCCGAAGCGAGGGTATGGTGTTCGCCCTTCCGGTTAAACCAACCTGGACTAGCTCCACGCGAGGAACACCAGGCCCAAATTATCCAAGCTGCATAGCGCTTTTCCAATGACACAGGCAGGCTGTCCTGCGGCGCCGATGTAGGTCGACTGTTCAGAAAGGTATCAGAGTCCACCACACCAAACAGCATCTTGATCGGAGCAAATGCATTGACATCGAGCTTTCAAGCGCAGTTGGCGTATCCTTGGGAGGTCACGTGTACATTCCTTGCTGTTGCTATTTGCCAGCGCCCCCTCTGGCCTGCGCTTCTGCGTCTGGCTCCCGCACCTAGCGAAAGGTCGGTAAGGCCCGCGTGCTCTCCATAGGTATGTTTCTCCCTACATCACCCCAAGATCCTTAAGACAACGGAATGCGCCAAGTGCAAAACCATCAAAACCAATGGTGACACCCCGTTTTATCCGCTTCTTCAAAGAGACGCGGGGATTTTGTTTGGCGTTTGCGTCACCCTTTTCCACACGCCACCTGCTGTCAAGTCTCGTACGTCTCTGTGCGTGTGCATGTTCACCCTTCTGAACAACACTTCAGGCTAATTGATTCTGCTGTCTTGGCAAGACTGACTATTTCAAGCTTGCACATTTGGCCAAGGACCTTCTAAATATGCGGCATTTGCCCCTTGAGAAGGCTGCTCCACAAGAAACAAGGGTCTCCCAAAGGCCTGCAGCCAGGTTCCAGATGGACACAGGGCCAGCAGGCAACTTCTTAACCCGTCAGCGGTTTAATGCTGCTCACTAGGATGTTCCAGCGCTTGTAGGCAAAAGAGGCGCAAGCAATGGTAAAGACGTGCCCTTGCATTGCTGAGACTGTGCCCCCTAAACTTTCAAGGGTCGTGCCAGCCGTGCCTGCTCCCCTGCGTGCTGCCGATGCTTGGGAAACTCCTCTGAGAACACACCTGGCCTCAGGGACGGCCCAAATCCACTCCGAACTCATAGCTTTAGGCACAAACAGGTCCGGGCTCAAAACAAGCAAGCATACCAACTCGATGGACACCGAGATCCGGTTCATTCAATGCCCTGGTCCGCCCATATTATGTGTTAAGCTTGAAGGCCTTCTAGACTATCCAAGGGGCATCCACCTTTTCCATACCCCAAACAAACAACTTGTGCTCACGGCTCACACGGCTCGCGGCTCTTGGCGCGCGGCATCACTATCTTGTCTTCCACCTGAAGAACCAGGCCCCGGATTCCAACCAGGCGAATGCATCTGTTTCGTGGACACTGGTTGACCGAGTTGCGCACGTGCGCACGCATCTCCAACTGGGACCCTTTGCATCGCGTCTGCTGTTGGAGGACCTCGTGAGATTTCCTGAAAACGCGCCATGGCAAAGTCTACCTGGGTGTCTTTTTTGGGGGGACCTGCAAAATGATGGTTTCCCTTTTAGCATCCCTTTGAAACCACACAAAGAAGAAAAGCCTCCCTCCCTCCCTCCCTCCCTCCCTCCCTCCCTCCCTCCCTCCCTCCTCCCTCCCTCCCTCCCTCCCTCCCTCCCTCCCTCCCTCCCTCCTCCCTCCCTCCCTCCCTCCCTCCCTCCTCCCTCCCTCCCTCCCTCCCTCCCTCCCTCCTCCCTCCCTCCTCCCTCCCTCCCCCTCCTCCTCCCTCCCTCCCTCCCTCCCTCCCTCCCCCCCCTGCCCCCTTTCTCTCTCTATCTCTTTCTCTCTCTCTCGCTCTCCTTTTGCTCTCGCTCTTCTCTCTCTCTGTCTCTCTTTCTCTCGATCCCGCGCTCGCTCTCACCCCTTCCTTTCTGTCTCCGACTCTCTCTCTCTCGCTCTCTCTCTCTCTCTCTCTCTCTCTCTCTCTCTCTCTCTCTCTCTCTCTCTCCCTCTCTCCCTCCTTTTTCTGTAGAAGTACGATGCTCGGCATGGCTGCCTACATACTAGTATCATGCATTCGGGGCCCAAGTTTGGTACTGATTGCAACAGTGTTGGCACGTGAAACGCAACCGTAGACAGCGCCAGGAAACTATCTTATCAGCCTTCCTGACGCTAGTTTCCCAATATATACACCCAACAAGGTGGAACCTGCCTGGAGGCCCTTTGAAGGACAAATTGCCCTGAAAGGGACCTGTCAACTTGCGTCTGTGGATCCATCTGCATGTAAAGAAAATGAGGCAACCAATGGAACCGCTCTTTCAGCACCAAAGGAACGTGCCTGGCTATGGGGGCGTGCCTGGGATCCGCTGGGCATCTTAGTGGTTCGCGGGTCCCTTGCTGAAAAGTCAAGCTTCAAGAACATGTCTACGTGTGGGAGCATACCGATGCTGCGGTAGGTCAACCCCTCTATTTGTTTTACAATGCCAAACTTCTATGGCCTGGGAACCCAATACTATTGCGTGCCCGAATCATTTTGTCTGTTCATCGGCTCGCCCTCGGCGAAACAAAGCGGAGTGCGCGCCTTCCGCGAGATGCACTTCTCCTTGGCTGGAAAAATCGGACCCCAGCAAAAGATATATTTCTTGCCTGGTTAGTGGAAAACAAAGGGGACCCAAAAAGCAAAAAAATCAAAAAGGGGAGCTCATTCTAGGGAAGTCTCCAGGTACTCGTCGGAGAAGGTGCGGAGGTACGAGGCCGCCCGCGCCCGCGCCTGCGCGAGTTGGTTCCCGGAGACCAGGTCTGCCAGGACCACGACCTGCGAAATGGAACTTGGCGGATCCTTTTGCTAGGTGTACAGAAAATGGACATGTTTGGCTGGCATAAAAAGAGTTGGAATTTTCTTTGGTTGTTTGACCATCCTTGGTTGCAGACAGACAGCCAAACACAAAGATAAAAGGAGAAAAAAAGGGCTGGTACGCACTGAACAGGAGGAAAACAAACAGTCCAAGAGCAAACATGTGTTAAAGTCTTCAAATGTTTGTGATCAAAATGCAATTCGTGCTGACACCTGTTGGGGGGCGTAAGTTGCTATAAGGGAGGATGGTTACTCTTGGTCTTTCCCTTCGGCGAAGTGCCCCAAATGAAACCCGTAGTGTCATTCCGTGGGCATACTAAGTCTTCAGGGAGGCCCATCCCATCATACACAAAGTAAACACTACGAAGCAAACGGGCACGTTTGTTTTGTCAGTGGTGCGCTGGCCCTCTTGTTGATGGAGAAGCCCGCGCCACTTCATGCGAGTGTATCTAGCTCCGGGGCTGAAAGTTGTCAAGGGGCGGTGGCGTTGAGTTTGCCGCAGTTTGCCGATTCGAGGTGAGCCAGGAGGAGTATTTCCCAAACCTGAGGCTTCCAAATGTTTGCGGTGTGGCGAGTTGTTCCCTGTCTCCTGTCTCCCGTAAAACAGATTGTAGAAACAGTTTTGGTCTCAACTTAGGTGAATTGTGTCCTGCATCCCTTATGGCGTCCTGTACCCCAATGACGGCACGGGTGCGGCAAGTGGACTCAGGAAAGCTCACCCACCAGGATTACCTATCCTAGGCCCTTTAGTAGAGAGGTTAGAATAAGGATACCCTTTTGTCTGTAATCTATTTTAGTAGGGGAACCCTCCTAAAAGGGCCCTACTGAGGGACCGAGTATCATACTCTTGAAAATATGGCTCACATCGTTCACGCACGCGTCCGAATATTACTTTACAATCACACGGAAGGCCGTGTGTCAAAATACTGGCCTTCGGAAAGGGGGCACTGGCTGCTACAACTCTCCCTGCGGCAATGGCCAACGGTCTGTCAGCAGCGTGACTCCCCCGCAACACGCTGCCACACTTGAAGCATAGAGGGACTTGTATGGGTCGGTAGACTGCTGCAAATCAGCCGGCTATTTGCTGGCAGCCGATTTTGAAGCGCCCAAGACACATCAAGGCACGTTGCGACTTCCATCCAAACACAAAGCCGAAAAGGGTGGACAACGCTTTCGCCAGTGTAGCGGGCCTGCATGCCTTCTGCATTCAGCTCCAGCCACCAAATCAGGTAGCCGCCACCCACGGGCGTCTCTTCCTAAGTCGGGTGCGCGCATGCGGGCACAAGCACAGGTTTATATAAGCACCGCAACCCAGTTTCCAGGTGTCAGCGAGCCGAGGAAGAGCTTCAGAATATCAAAAAAGCAAATGTGCCCGAGTCCGACAATTTTGGCTGCCCCGGGCCCTGCTTGCTGATCAAACGATGCTGTGATGCTTCAATCGAAATGTTGGGAGTGCCTGCAGCTTTTCCACACCTCAGAGATACGATCCTTGCAGTCTACACAACCCAAATCACAGCCCCAACCTGCGAAAGCCTGGAATAAATATGGATCCTACCTGGTCTTACTCATTCATTACCTTTAACGCCAAACTCATCAGTTCCCCGCATCCTGTGGGAAGCTTCCTGGGGATGCACAAGCCCCGCCCCTGCATTTGTGCGAGCCTAGCCCATAGGGAGAACAAAACAAGCTAGCTGCGGCCTCCACTCAAACATAAGTTCATGTTTTGGTGGGAAGCCGGCTGCCAAAAACAAAGTAGTGTGCCTTGCTGATCTGAAAAACTGAGTGCTGCACCCGGAGTCATAGGCTTTCCGGATTGGGGCTACAGCGTGAAAGGAGAATGATCCTAGCTTCCATGTCGGAAACAGAACAAGCTGAGCATTTTCTGCACAAGTCGGGGAACAAGATCTGGGAACCAGTCCGGCTAGCCCCCCCAATTCCATCACCACCTTCCTCGAATATCCAAAGCCCCCTTCTCCTGCCCAAGGTGCACAAATGAGTGTCCCAAATGCCAGGCACCAGTGGCATACCCCCCTTTTTCGGGTTGCGTCCACTGGACTTCTCGACTTTTCCGGCGTGACCGCGCCGAGAAGCCACGGCCATCTGCCAGAGCTGATGTCCTTTGCCGTCGCGCACGTGCTCCAAGCGCCAGGCCTTCTCTTCGCCCTTCAAGATCTGAGAGATCCTCAGATCTCAACGGCCCGTTTGAGGACCCATCAATAAAAGGTGATCACCTTTTGGGACCCCTACTGAATATAGACCAAACAGGGAAAACCAAAAGGTCAAAAGGTCAGCTTTGAACAACTGAGTCAGATCTCAACGGCCCGTTTGATCCAAAGAGGCCGCATAAATTTTCCAAAGATGGGGGGGCGGCTCCAGCTAGAAAACAGGCGCAAACAAAACAAGCAGTCTGGAGAGGCCAGAAAACATATGACTTCCGAAATCCCGCGGTCTGCTCTAAGCATTGGTCCCTTGCCTCTGGCTTTTTCAAAGCATCTCTGCCGGCGCGCTCTGTGCGAAAGCCAGCTCCAGCCATGGAAGTATATAGCCTTCCCAGCTGAGCTCGGCCCGTCTGAAACGTAGGCGGTAAAATACTCAATGGCAAGTCAGCTAGGAGGCCGGTCTGTTTCTCTGCAATCGACGTTGATTTCCTCAGAAACCGCTTGATGAGGTTGGGATAGGTGGTTCGACCCCCAGGTGAGGACACCACGTGTTATATATGCAGCCTTCTGAGACGTTCTTTTGCCAAGGCTCTTCTTGACCACAGCCAAGCGATGCGCCTCCTGTTGGATCCTCGGACCGAGCGATTTGCGCGGCTGGTCGGCGGGCGCTCGGCTGACATGAAATTCCTGTGCTTCAATGTCGCTCCCAATTTAAAAAAGAGAAAGGGCAATCCACACAACTGAACTGCGATAATATGTCCATTTTGGATCCCGCTATTTCTCAAGTTGTGCTTTCGGGGACTCCCGAGTCTCCAAACTCCACTGTCACAAAGAAAGAACAGACTGGGCCCAGTTAAGTGGCTGCATGTTGAGGTGCAAAAACAAAAAACATGGGGATGGGTTCTCTCCAAACGGACATTTTAAAAAGCGCATTTGGAGAATGACACTTTCATGGAGCCAATAGATGCGCCGTCCTCGCACCAAGTTGCCAAGTTGCTTTCTGTTTGCTTTGAGTGGCGGCGTCGTTGAATCACCAAACAGCGGCGAGGGGGAAAACACAAGCTGATTTCACATCGCAGATCAGCCCATATGCAAGTGCATAAAACCACTGGGTTCCCAACAATCATGGCCTGCACTACGACCTCCAAAAGCAAAGTAATTCAGAGCTGTGCACAGCACTGAGAAGGCACAAACCGTGCCACACTGTCAGAGTGCAACATGGCTGGGCACTGAAATCGCAAAGGTTTGCGATGCGTGCTGTGACATCCTGGCACTCTGCCAAGGCGCGCAGAGATGGTGCTCACCAGCTGCTGAAGAAAGAATGAGCTCCTCAGCCAAGCTTGGAGGGAACAAGGCTGCCATAAACAACTGGCCACCTGTTTAACATTATCACTTATCACCGCAACTCTAGCGCACACATCTCTTGGAGAAACTCCTGTTTCACAAGAACGTCTGACTTTGCTTCTGCTGCCTGGGTCGCTGGCCCAAAAAGAAAGTGCGAGTCAGGGTTTCCAGAATCCAATTAAAACGTGTTTGCTTGAAGGAGCGACTTCACGAGTGCCAGGATTGCTAGAGGCCACCATATACACACCATGGCTTTCACCAGGCTGCACAAACACGCACCATGGCTTTTTGCCGGGGCATCTTCTGGCCCCCTAGAGCAGCAACCTGGTGCCCTTAAACGAACTACAAAATCAGTGTCTGAAACTGCAACTCAGGCATGACGGGGTCGAAACTTGGGAGCGCGCCAAATGGCGCCCATCTCGTCACCCCGCATGGGGACCTGCACTGCATCCATTGTGCTGTGCTAACTTCGACTTATTCAACTTTGCTCTCCAGCTCAGCGACCAAAGATCTCAGGCCCCGCTGCAAGGCAGCCACACTTAAACAGAATTACGCAGTCACAGTATGAGCAGAGGCCCCCGGGTTCCAAATGCAAGTAACTCTGCCCCCACCAACTCAGGAGTCCGGAAGGTTCCATGTTGCATACCCCAGCGTCAAAAGACTGCACACGTAGCTCTAACATGGCCGGGCTCAAATGCCAAATGCCCTCGGATACCTGACCTGATCTATAACACTCGAGCCTTTGGCCCTGGGCAAGGCCCAGTGGCAAGCTCAGGCCTGTCCGAAATCACCTTGAAACCATCTGAATGAAGCGTGCAGCCTGAAATGCCCCGGGCCACGAGAGGAATCAGAAGGGGCCGAAAAGCAAACTTTGCTGCAACTCGCCGGGGGAAATCATATGGCTCTGGGTCAAAGATAGGCTCCCCAAAATGGAACCCGGGTAAATGGAAACATGGACTAAAGCCCTGCGGTCCCCTGGTGGTATGATTCTTGACCCATACCCCTGTTGTGGGGCAATTTGGCTTTTCCACCATCTCCGTTCAGATCCTTTCGGGACCGGCCGATTTGTACAAAACTCCTTTTTTGGTTCCATGGTATGTGTCAAGTTGCGATTTGGAGCCTACCCCCAAACCACATAAACCACCAACGACTGACTGACCCAGCTTTTGCTCCCCACCAATAATAGGTTGGATTCTGGCCCATTTTTCGAGGTGTTTGAGGGCAACTACCTTTTTGTTGGTGTGTACGTGGTTGTAGCGGAAATCCTTGAGAAAACCAGCCATTGGTAGCACACAAAAGCCCCAGTGCCCTTTACACATCCACCTTGCGCCCACTCCCGAGGCTGGCCTCAGTGGCGATGCGCCTCGTTAGACGTTGCGCCGCATTGGCCGCCTGCCTGCGATAAGCTCGGAAAAAAAGAAACCAAAACAGGGGGAATCGCTGGGCCCACGCGAAACTTGGGGCCTGGGAAAAACATGTTTGTTTTTCCCGTCAGAGAGGCAGGCCCTTCTTCAAGGCGATAGTTTTCTGTTGGTGTTGTTTGCTTTGGGATTCATGACGCTTGTTGGCTGTCTGGCACCTAGCTCATACCCGCCTCTGCCCTTACAGTGAAGATTCTGAAGGCTTCATTCGTAGAATAACGTTTGGGTGTGATTTCCCCTTGAAACCATTGGGGCAATGTTGAGGATGTTGCTTGATGGAATCTATCTATCTACCAAAAAGACCGAAAGAACAACCAGGGAAACAGCGCGATTTCACCTGAAACAAGTCCGTCCCGTCTCGATAAGTACTCTCCCCTCCGTTGCACTGTTGCTGTTGGGGATCTCATTTGAGACACCGTTGCTTGTGCGCCCCTTCATAATTTACTAAACAGAAGTTCAAGTCAAGTTGACCCGAAATACCCCACTAAGGAGGAAAACTCCGAAGGGAACCGCAAAAGAAAAGGTGGAGTAGTTGATTTGGTTTCCCTTGAAACCACCCCAACAAGGACACAGTACCCCATCGGATAGGGAGATACCAAAATGTGTGGTTCCCACTGGTTGTGTCCTGAAGGACCGCAGTGCAAAAGATGCGCCTCTGCTGCGCAGCTGCCCTGCCAGGTGGTTCCTGGCGCCTCAGAAAAGGGACATCTCTCTGACCGCCCGTGCCACGCCGGACACCAAGCTGAAACTTAATTCACCCTGAGCAAAGTTTGTGTGCGTCATGTTTGGGAGCGGCCTTGAGGGTCGGGGAATACCGAGGAACTACACGACTACATAGGTGCCACTTCGGCCATATTCAAAACAGCCTTTGACCGCCCACCCGCCCTCATAAGCGCCCCCATAAAGAACTGAAAACTCCACATCCCAAAAAGGTAGTGACCCCAAAGCAAAACCATTTCACTGGCAATCCAAAGATCCTCAGCATTTGACTAAGACCATAGCTGTCGCCTTCTGAACCAAAACTCGGGAGTACTTTGTCCATCCTTTCTCGGCTACAAATACGCCCAATCCAGGTTCTATGATCTTGGAAAAAGACACCCTGAGCTGTCTTGTGGCCAGAATGTTCACAAAGTTGTTTCAAGTACAATGAGTAGTACAAGCAACCAAAGAGGGAGGTTGCAAAATCTTCACACCAGATTTCTCTTTCCGAAGTTGCATCTGACCCAGTGGACTAATGGGCAAGGCGTTGCTTCTGCCTTGCAGAACTCGCTGCCCAGGTGCGTACGCCAGCACTCATGGACCGCATCAAGTTCTTCTGGCGAGTGTTCCAAATCCCTGGGTGAACATCTTCAAAAAACAAACAGGGAGGATACTTGTGTTGACCCACTCTAAATCGGCCCTAAAATTCGATTGCAAACTGGAAGAACCCCAGGGAAGAACGGTGCAACCGACAACATGAGCGAGGAAATGAGCAAACAACAGAGTGGATGACGCTTAGGGGAGAACAGTGCAACGACGAGGCACCATCAACAAAAGGGTGGGCAACGTCTGGAGGAGAGCAGGGATAAGAACCGGGTGAAAGAAGGGGAAAAGAGCGAAGAGAGTGAAGAAGGAGAGAAACGTGCAAACATGTGAGGACAAAGGACCATGATGAAGCAGAGATACGCGCCGAGAAACAAAGCCAAACGACGAGCACGAGAAGAGTGGAGAGGAAAGGATAGACAAAAGGGGCACCTGCAAGCGCCGAAAAACTAGGATTCACGCAATTCGTGGGCAAAGCGGATTCGAGCTGCCAAATCCGTTTTGAACAAATGGGCTCTCAAAGTGCAGCCAGAGTTGCGGGGCAGGAGGGCCACCATTGGCCTGCATCGGCTAAGTACGAAAACACAAGCCAGGTGTGGTTTAGTAACATGGGGGGGTCACGGTTAGCAGAACCCTCTTTCTACACACACGTCGGTACACAGGATGCACACACAATGGTCGCACTCGGTTCACAGCAAGCCACGCACCCAAGCAGGAAACATAATAACAAACACGCAGGGACAAAGCAGGAAAAGCAGCTCAACGCAGAAGGCAAACCTAGAACTACTTCTTGACCGGTGCGGGGTGTTCTTTGTCAACACCTCGCAAGACCTGGAAACTTCAAGTCTTCAGCGACAAACGGGTGGACGGCAATAGGATCAAGAGTGGGCCTAGAGTTAAAGCTACGCATGCTGCTGACTCAACCTGAACTACAAGAAGTAACCAACTGATCTGCAGAAACACAAATTACGATGATTCAAAGACTGGAAGCAAGCGACCAAAGCTCAGACACTGCGTTCCTTTGCCAACCTCAGGGGTTCATGAATCACTGCAGTATAGGTCCAAACACCACCAGAACTCTCAGGCGTTCCTTAGCTGGTAAAGATGCCTTTTTTGGCTGGTTGTATCCTTCAAGGGACCCGAACGCCCTGAACCTCTCTGCCTTTTTGTTGACATCTCACGAATTTCGCCTGCGCCACCACGCGGTCCAAGTTCCGTTCCAGTTGTGAGCGCTCATCTGGCACCAGTTGCGTGCAGCGACGCATCTGGCAGAACTTGATGAAGTTTGCCCACCTGGCAAAGCTCCACCAATGCCACGACAGGAGCTCAGCATGCAGAGAGCGACATCTGCATAACTTCCATCTGGCCTATACATGGGAAAGGCTCAAAAAATGTACCAAAATGGCACCTTGGCAACTGGAACCGAAGACTAAAACCTGCGTAACCCTAGTTCTTTCAATTTGAGCCACACCCACATGTACGAACGTCTACCAGTGATCCGTGATCCATGGCTCCCAGGGCAACATGGGGAAGGAGCACAGGGTCCCATGCGAGGCGTGCAGAGCTGCAAAGGAAAACGTGCAAACCATGCCACGCAAACATATGACCATCTGCCACAGCCATTCCAGACATTGCATAGGCCATCAACGATTTGCAGTGCCCGCGCTTCAAACAAAGATGCACCTTCTTGTGTACCAAAATGCCACTTCCACACCAACAGGAGCATGTCGGAGTGCTGCTCTTGCGGCGGACCAGGGTGAGCCATGGAGAAGAGGGATGCAAGACACATATGTTGATGTATACCCGGTATACTTGCCTTTGACCAGCTGGCCATTCGAAATCCTCGTTCTGAATGCCAGGCCCACTTCTCCGGAGACCCCATTCCCGGACGTGGAAATGGGGTTGAAAACGGCACTCTTGTGTTTGGTTGTTGCCTTTAAATGGACCGCCCTCCAAAAAACGGTTTAAAAAGGAAGCAACCCACTGGTCTGGGCAGCTGAGCGGCATCTCGTCATTTGCCAAGGTCTGCAAATCTCCGATGACCCAAAGCCGGAAGCGAGCGCGGGTGATCGCCACCTCGCAAACAGCAGATTTCAAATCGGATCCATTGAGCACCATGTGCGTCTGCTTTTGCCGAGGGGAACCCCCGAACTTGGTTCAAACCAACTTGGTTTAACCAACTCCAAAAAAGGGTCCCCTCCAAAACATGGCGCGCCCATGTTCAAAAGGAGTTGCGAGAAACAAAGAGCAAATCACTTGTGATGGATGAAACCCCATGACTGGCCCAGCTGGTGCAGGAAGTCTCCTAATCTGTCTCCATTGGCACTGCATACAACAACCAAAGTCATAGGCTTAAAGGAAACCACTCGACTCTGTCTGTGACCAGAACTTAAAACATCTGCCCCATGTCCACTACCGGCCCACATGCCCCAAGGGTGCCAAGTGTGGGACACCTGGTCGACAGTTGTAGTAGGACATGATTGGCCCACAGGTATGCTTAATAATCTATTCTCTAGAGGCCTTACCTAGGCAAACACTGGGTTGCTCCTCGGGTCGACGAGAGGTCATGACACCCACCATCTCAGATGGACCCTGGTGTGGCATTTGCTAGCGGAAATTTGGTAAAATCTCTGCCAACAATGCCCGCTTCTTTCCTCATGAGGATTTTGACGTGAACAAATGAACCGGTTTTGGGGATTCCCTTAAAGGAAACCACCAGCTGGATGGTTTATAAACCGTTCAAGGGCTCATTCCCTGCCTCATATGCCCAGTGGCCATGGGGAAAAAAGGGCATCCTTTTTTGGCTACTTAACTTTGGGGAACCTTTCCATAAAATGGGAAAAAGGAAAAGCAGCCCACTGGGCAACTGGGCTGCGAATCTCACGCGCGAGTTGCAGCCACTGAGATGCTGACGTTGAGGCGGCGATGGTCCGACACAAAGCCCAGCTGGCCCTTCAAGTTCGAGCGTACGGTACCTCCCGTCGAGCGGGGGGTTTTGGCCGGGCCGGGCCCCGCCATTTTGGATGGACATAGCCCCACCTGCGAAGAGTGTGACGCGTTGGTTTTGGTGAACCCGGCTGCGTATCCGGACATCTGTTGCAAGTAGCAACAAAAACGCAGAACCGTCCAAACAAATTAACATGTCGTGTTGCTCTTCGGCGCCAATTGCCAATGATTCATGGCGTGTCAAGCCAGATCTGTTCCACCCTTCCCCCCTAAGATCTTTTCCCCCTTTCCCCCCTAAGATCCTGTCCCCCCTTTCCCCCCCTAAGATCTTTTCCCCTCTTCCCCCCCTAACGTGTTCCCCCCCTTTGCTCCTTACGATCTTTTCCTCCTTTCCCTCCACCAAAAATATGTTCCCCCCTTTCCCACCCGTAAGGTCTTTTCCCCCTTCCCCCCCATACACGCAAGGCTGCTTCAGCCGGAAGACCACTTCAGACCATCTGATGGCGCAGCTGCGCAAAGGGTTGGTGCCTGAATCATCTTGCAAGAGGCTGCGGTCCTACGTTTTCGCCTTCTCGATGTCGACTCTTATCAGCTTGTGCGAGGCTGACAGAACCCCACCCTGCGTCTAAATGTCATCGACAATCGCACCTAACATGGCTGCAATGCATTCATAAGATATGCCAGAACCATGCCCACAATCCGAAAATGGCTCACTGATCACGATGATATCCTGCTCGTTCCCTTGGAAGCCATCGACGGTCTTTACCTTGCAGGGATAGGTCGAGCGTGAAATCTGGGAGCCTTAGCCTGGCTTGGCCAATCTATGTCGCCCTCCCCTGCCCCACCCTCTCCTGCATAAACATACCCAGGGAGCCATGCTGAAGAAAGATGCAGCTTGCCGCCTGGAACGTCTTTGTGTTAAGCTCTGCCAGGTCAAGTGCATTTTCTATCGGCCACCCCACCCCCTTGGCTTTACACACCTAAGTGGCCCTGTTTCTTCCTTCCCGCCGTGGCACGAGCTTCACCTTTTTCTCCAACTTCCTGCTCGAGACCTGGGCGAGATGCCGAAGCTGAGACAAGATGATCAGAACCTCTCTTCCGATCGAGTGGATCGGCCAACAACAACTTCCCCCCATGTTCTTCTTTACCTCTAAAATGGTCCAAGCCCAAAAAGTGAGTCAGGGGGTGAGGAATGCAGCTCAGCGATCCGTCTCATGTCCGAAAGTCTCCATTTCAGTGCCGGGCAGTGCTCTTTTCACCGTTGATCCTGTCCTTGATGAGGCGTACCTGAGGCAAAATCCCGTGGCTTAGGCTGACTCACACATTCTGAAACCAAGAATCTACCGACAAGAAGCAAACACAAACCGAGAAGGCCGGCATAGGCTGACTCACACATTCTGAAACCAAGAATCTACCGACAAGAAGCACACACAAACCGAGAAGACCGGCACCAAAAGCTTGATGTAGCTGTTTGCGGCACAAGACCGACAAACAACTGAGCCTTTGCTTCTGCTTGAAAGGGTGACAGCCCCAGAAACGACTAAACAAAGGTTATATTTGTATCGGGAATGAATGGCATCCGGGGAAAAAAACAGAAGTGCGTAACGACAGGGCCACGTCGTGGATGGCGACTGCGACGAAGCAGGGAATCCCACAAGAGCAGGAAGGTGTTATTACAAGCAGCATGGCAAGTAAACCAAGCGAAGCTAAACTAGTTGCGTTGATAGTGCTGCTCCCGGGTGAAAAAGCAATACAAAACACAACCAAGGGCCAGCTGCACATATAGAATCAATGCGACTGCTGCGACTTGATGCTTGAAGTGCAGCCCAACTGCAGGAGCCTCTTGACAATGCAACTGGCTCTGCATCAACCAAATTTTGAGATGCTGAAAGCCTTGTTGAAGAATGACATGTGCATCGCCGGGCCTTATGCTTGCCACCTAGGAAGGTCACCGAATTTCCGGTCCGACGCCGGCTGCCCACGCCAACCGCCACACTACAAACAGTGTCAAACATCTGAAGAATGGCAACTGTTCAGCTCAAGCGCTTCAAGGGTGTTGAACCTGATCCTGCCTTTTGGCACTCACGTCCCCCCTCCAAAAAAGACGATCAACGCTCTTCCAGAGACTGACGAAAGGGATGCCTTGGTGAGGGTTGTTCAGAATGGGAGGTCCATGCACAGTGGGACACCACTACGACAAGGAAAACCGATCTCTGGCATGAAGGACAGATCTGGAACCCGAGAAAACGGAGGATCCCTACAAAACAGCGATTTCTCACTTCCGAACCGGGCAACCGGGCCTGCCCGTTGTACGGCGCAATGATACCCACCGACAGGCGCCGGTCCGACTCGTTGGCACGGAAGAACTGGGTCAGCAGCTTCACTACCTTAGCCGAGGGAAGCGTAAAGGCTAGGTCCTCCAGTAGAGAGGTTCGAATCAGGGTACCCATTTCTTGTGTAGTCTATTTTAGTACGGGAACCCTCCCCCAAAAGGGGTAACAGGGCACTACTGGGACTCTACTGGGGGACATGGAAGGATTCAGGGGTCGTTCTTGATGTTTCCCGCGTTTCCCCAACTGAGACGGGAGAATCTCCAAACGAGAACAAAGAGTCATTCATGGGGGCAAACGGAAACTCAGCTGAGGCCGTCCGATGAAACCGCGGCACCTTTTGTGTATTGTTTTGTTTTTCTTTTTTCGGAGGGTGACAGTGGGCGGCAGTACAGCAATGGTTGAGGGACTTTAAGCCAGGGTTCCCATTAGGGGCAGAAAGGCAAAGAACTGAGCAGTCCTGGCGTTGCAAGGTGGGGCGTTCCATTCTATAATCGTCATCGTGATGCAAATCCTGGCGGAATAGCTCCATTTCAATGCGTGATTTGAAGGCGCGTGTTTACGGCCCTTTGTCACTCACAAAAGCAGCATTCGGGCAGAATCAGCACAGCCCCTGCAGTGGCCGCAGCAATCCTCAGCAAGCAAGACCCGGTCAACAAGTAGGCGTCCCCAAAAACGGCGCACGACCTCCCGCTCAGCACGCCCAAGCAGCCCGGGTGGCCGTTTTCGAACGCGAACGCCAAAGCCGGCTTCGCCTTCGCGCCTTCGCGCCTTTCCGCCAGGCACTGGTTTCTCTGTGCATGGCAGCGAAGCAGGTGCCATTCCTGTGCTTCACCATTGGCTCAGCCATGTGGCTGGCCTCTGTCTGACATGTTTTAAACAAGGCATCAAGTTAGCAATCTTTGAAAAGCAGCCAAGCGCTGATGTCTCCGCACCCCAGCTGGCTTCACACAGTCTGGCAACATTCAATTAAACTCAGGGCGGTTCACGCAGAACCGCACCAGGTGGAATTCCTAAGGCTGGCTTGGCATGTAAAAGTCCCATGGGACAGCCATGAGTCAGCTGTACAGCGGATTTCGCAGCGAGGGTTGGACTTCAGATTCTGCGCGCAGCAGGAACTTTTGTGCTTAAAGCGTCCAACCCTGAAATAAGCTTACTTGGCTGACCTCTGCCCAATCCAAAGAAACTTCACTAGAGCATTGGCAAAACATGCGGCCAGCCGATGTAGCACAAGAAACATGCTGGCATATCCATGTTCTAGAGGTAACGTTGCCCTTGCTTTTCAGGAATCCTTCCTGCAAGCCGTAACAAAACACCGACGCCCTTACTCCGAATATGCACGCTTACACCTGCGAGGTCGATGGGCCAAGAGAAACTCAAAACTTGCCGGCTTTGGAGCACAAGGGGGGGTGTGACTTGTTTTAGTGGGTACCCCGGTCTTGGGGTCTTAAATTAAGGGACACACAAAAGGAAAACCATATGATGAATTTCTTTTGGCGGCGCCCCAAATCAAAGACCCGCCCAAATCTACAATCTGCAGTTGCTCGACTTCTTCGCTCTATCTCTGATTGGGTTCGGTCTGGAAGTGACGGCCCCATTCACTTCCCATCTGGCTGTCTCCACCGTTTTCTGGATCACCTGGACCATTGGGCTTTCCAAAAGCGCGAGGCTCGGGGGCAATTTCTGGCGCCGGAGAACACGCGCGAAAACCTATGCGGTTCACTCAGGTTTGCTCCAAGGGGGCCAAAGAGCAAAAGGCTTTCTGAGTTGAGGTTTTCACAAAAGCCATCAAACATCTCGTTTGCCATGTGAAAGGCAAACCTGGGCAAATTGTCGCTTCTGGTCTCAAAATGTCTGAATTGATCCCACGCCTGGCAAATGAATATTAAGTAGCCACACCAGACTGTTGTGGGCGTCAGTTGTGGCCACCCGTTGATCTTGATCCGCCTAATCTTGTCACAAGGCAAAATCGAAGTGCGGCCCATTCCTTTCCTGCCCGCACAGTCCGCAAGCTCTCCTCACAATCACCCTTCAACAGCTCCCAACACAGTTATAGGGAGCGGAAGCTTGCCAACGAAATGGCCTGCAAGCACATGGGGAAACCCTGATAAACGCACATTCAAATGAGGTTTGGAAGGATCAAATGTGCAGCGCCAGGTTCGCCAGTTCATCGGTCCCTCTTGCGGCCTCAGCAATCCTCCACATCGTCCACCTCTGCCGATGGCGCCCGCGTGTCCGGCGCCGGATAGGGCGACGCCTGAATCGAGTAGCGATGGGCGCGGGGCGGGGAGGGGCAACCGCCCAAACGGATTGATCGGTATGGATTAATGAGACGGCATTCATTAAAAGGGAAGTTGCTTAGTTTTAGGGGGTATTCTACTCTGATTAGCATTGTCCTCGCTGTAAAGGCAAGCTACCACGACCAAAGCCCGCACTGTACCTCTCCTTCAGTGTTCAGGTTGGGTTGTTTCATCCCCATTTAAAAAAATATCAAAGGGCACTTTAAAGATCCTCTAAATCAGCTGGCTGAACTGGCCCGGTATCCTCTAAAAGGGCTCCAATGTGATTTTTGAAAACACCACTCATCAAGAAAAGACTCCCTTGAAACTGGCCCCAAAGGCGTTTTTTTCTAGCAACCAAAGGGGAAATTCAGGGAGCCCTGCTTCAGGAACGCAACTGTATCCTCTAAAGGACCCTGTGACATACTATGGATGGACAAGATCATCATGCACCAGTCAGCCATGGGTAAATCACCTGCCAACTGGTTCAGGTTTTTCTCAAATGGCCCACATCTAGGGTGCAAAACAAACTTTAGCCCACCCTAAAAAATAGCGTGGTTCTGGAAACTCCGGCTTTGTCCATCCAGAGTTCCCCATAAGGGAACCCTGTTTTGCTTTGACCTTCGTGCAAGTGCCAAAGGGAAGCCATCGAACTGGTGCACACCGGGCTTCGCCGGATTCCATCGCCTGCACCTTCGCCGCATAGTTGGCCCAGGGCGCCGCTGGAGGGGGAGAGGCTTTCGCCGCGGAAACCGTTCGCACCGTGGGCTCCGGGTGGTACTTCCTGGGCGGGCAACAAAAACGTCCCTCAGCCCTTGGTCATATTTTGTTGTCCTAATATGTTTGCAGGAGACACCAGTTGTGTTGGAAATTTAAATGTGAAGAGGGGTTGGGATCATATGATTTGGGCTCAAAAAGCAGGTTGTTGTTGGTTCGCTTGAAAGGCTTTGCTGCAATTTGATGAAGGCATCGTACTTCACTGTGTTGTTGCGTCCTGTATCTTGGCCAAAGGCATACTTTTGTGACTCAACTAAGGTTTGATCATATTGGCTTCAAATTCCTTTGACCAGGAGCAGCCAGCTTACCAACCCATCCGAAATGACAACAAATGTGTGTGTGGGTTGATCCAGCCAGTCAGCCAGCCAGTCAGCCAGCCAGCTGGCGCGCACCTGCCCACTCACCCAAGCACACACCCAGGGTAGTTGATGTGAAGGAGAAGAAGGACGACAGCAACAGCAAACAACCTTCAACAAGTAATTCCCAAAGTCCCTGCTAGGATCAAGCTCTGCAAGTTTGCGTGCGGCAAGCCGAACGTGCGACACCCACACACACACACACAAGACCTCCGTACAAAACCAATGCCAAGGGGCCGTCTCACCTTGAGCACATTCTCTTCATACCAAAGAGTTCCCATGTGGTTCCTGAGGTTCTTCATGTGATCTTTGGAGCCCTGGGGCTTATCCGCCGTGCCGGTGTGCGAGAAGTCGTCCTGCACCCACTTCCTCGGCTCAAGTCTCCGGATTCCTTGGGGTCTGTGGCGATTGAACCCTTGAAGGCAAGCACAGCTGGAGCGACATTCTTGGAGATGCCATGGAGTAATGAAACAGTGGAGTCAGGCAGGTTGCTCGGATGGACACACGTTACTTACATGTTGCTTATCTGTGAGTTCCAGTGTTGCCTTTTCGGTGCAGCATTGGGCCTCCTTGAGGCATTGACCGGGGGCGCTCTCTGAAAGGCGAAGGCAAATAAGTCCTGACCCTTGCTGCCCAACTACCAACCATGCACGGCCAAACAGTACACCAAGGCAACACGGCTTCAGGGCATGATTGCCCAGGCATACCTCAATCAAGGTATTGACACATGGGAACATTCTGCTCTCCCATGTGGTGGACATTAGAAGAGACGCATTTCTCGCTCGCGGTATTTGATCCAGGACGCTGGCACAGGAGGCACTTCTTCCACCGCTCACTGGAGGGATCTGAAGGGTCACATGGCACCTCGCAAGGCTAGTGGGCAGAAATCAGCAGACCTTGCACTTTCTTACGCTTCCGCTTTCTCCGTCCCAAGCAAACCAGCCTCAACCAAAAGCCAAAAACGAAACAGGCTCAGCCGCCCTTGGTCCTTCCAGCATCCAGCACCAAACCCCACATCCGAGGCCCCAGGCCCAGGCCAAGTAGGGCAACTCCGGAGCCTGCGAAAAGTTGAGCCCAGATGTGGCCCCCTTCGTTAACCCTGGGGGGGTTGAATGCAAAGATGGGTGGGGCAAAAAGTCACACCCGTCTGGGGGTTCCTTCGAACGTCCCTTTCAGCCAACCTGAAGGGTACCTGCAAAGTGCACGAAAGGAGAAGGCATGGAAGACAGCTGGCATCCAAACGTGATGGGGAGCACAGGTGTGCACCGCATGCTTGCATGACTGCAAGCTCCAGACTGCCACCCGAATTTTGCCATGCTCAAAGTCACAAAGGGTGGGCTCAAAGCAAAGATCCACCCCCGCTTCCTGAATTTTGTGGCTTTGGAACCCCGAAACGCACAATACTGGGCGCAAATCAGCAAATAGCTAAATAGTATATTCCTTTGCACCTGAACCGTCCTTTGTGCCGCCGCTCGGTCAATATGCAAGCTCAGGGGATGGCTTCCTTAGAATGGACATGGCCTGCCTCATACCCAGACTTCCGCAACGTCTCTTGCTCGAACCAGCTTTGCAGGCGCCGCTTGTGATCATCTGCGCGGCATTGAGCGATTCTGATGCGTGGACACGTGGTAACTTGAAGAGGATG